CTCTTTCTTCTTAAATCAGGCCTCCTTCCCTGGCTCTCTCTATCCCTCCTCCTTCCCCTTCTCCTCTCTTACAATCCTTTGTCCTCCTTTCTGCCCTTTAAACTTTCCCTTCCTTGCCTGCCCCCCCACCCCAGGGCCACGATGTCGGCTCCCTCGTCCTTGCCGGATTGGAAGCTGATGCTCTTGGAGCGGAAGCGGAAGGAAGAGGAGGAGGCGCGGCGCCGGGAGCGGGAGCAGCAGGACCGCATGGCCAAGATGCCTGCATGGAAGCGGGAGATCATCGAGCGCCGCCGTGCCAAGCAGGGCTCCAGCACTTCCTTCTCTGAGCCTGGAGGCAGCAGCGAGGGTGGCGGTGGCAGCGGTGGAGGAGCGGGGCCCCCCTTGGCCGGGGTGGGAGCCCCAAGCCCTGGGGAGGAGCCCAGCGGTGAGGAGAGCGCCGTTCTGCAGGAGAAGATTGGCCCCGTGCACCAGAACCCCTTCATCCAGCTGGAGAAGCGTCGCAAGGAGACAGCGGCACCGGACAGCGACCCAGCCAGCGCCAAGGCCAAGCAGCTGGCGGACGCCTACAGCCAGATCCCTGGCATCCGCACCCTGCGGGCCGACAACGTCATCATCATTGAGTCGGTGCCCGACGCCGAAGGGGCCCCACTGGGCACAGGCGCTGAGCGGCGTCGGTGGCCGGCGGAGGTGAAATCTGGCAGCGTGGAGTCCCTGAATGAGCTGCTGGTGCGGCCGGGCGGGAGCGTGACGGAGATCCGGGCGGGTGAGGTCTTCATCGTCAAGTCAACCGTGAGCCGCAGCGCGGAGGACCTCAACTCCTGCGGCCAGGGGCACGGGGACGTGGGCTACCAGTCGGCGCGGCCAGAGCAGCGTCGTGGGCGGGTCAGCAAGCTGCTGAGCCACTTCAGCCAGGACGGTGGCGGTGTGGGGCTGCCCCAGCGCCCGGTCAGGTCCCTCAGCACCGAGAACCTTGCTGATGGCTCCTATGAGCACCCCTTGGAGACCAGGAAGCTGGATCCCGGCCTGGCCCGGCAGCATGGCGGGTCTTCCAGCCCATCCTGTGACCTGCCAGGGCTCGGCACCTCCGCGCCACCCCCAGCGCCCCTCTTCACAGTGGCCTCCTTCCGCAATCAGTTTGAAGCCAGGTCTAGTGGCGAGGCCTGGCTGGAGAGCCCTCCACGGCGCTTCTTGCTTGGCAAGTCTTGGAACCAAGAGGCAGCTTCACCAGAGAGGGGGCCCCGGCTTGGCAGTGACAGTCGTGCGGCGGGTGCGGTACCACCAGGCTCACGAGGCAGGGAGGCCACCTCTCCAGAGAGGAGAGCTAGGCCCAGCAGTGGTGATCGGCTGGCAGCGGCGCCCGGTCCCCAAAGCACCGAGGCCGCCTCGCCAGAAAGCGGGGCCCAGCCCAGAGGTGGTGGCTCAGTGGCTGCGGGGCCAGGCCTAAAGGACAAGGAGGCCCCCTCCCCAGAGTGGGGCGCGAGGCACGATGGCAGTGGCCCAAACACAGTCATGCCAAGCCCACAGGGCAAGGAGGCTGCCTCTCCAGAGAGGGGAGGCTGGGACTTGAGGGCCACCTTGCTGGATGTGATGAGCACAGGTGAGGCGTTGGAGCCAGGCCCAGCAGCCATGCTGGAGCCTGATGCCGACGCACAGGCCAAGGCCCTGGCCAGCTTGCGCCTGCAGTCACGCAACTCCTTCATGGTGGTGCCGCGGCGCCGCCGAACCCAGGCAGGAAACCGGCACTTCTCCTTCTCCTCCCCCAAAGCCCGTGGCTGTTCTCAGCTCTGCTTCCTCCCTGAGTTGTGAGCAGACTCCCCCGCCAGCCAGCGCTGAGGAGCCAGGCGACGGGGAGGCCATGAGGCGTGTGGGGGCCCGACCAGCCCGGGAGCTGGGAGGGGTGTCGCTGGTGCCACACCCAGCCGTGCAACGCCGGAGCGGCAACACCATCACCATCAACCCACGCAAGGCCCCGGTGCCGGCGCCCACCGTGGAGAATGGCATCGAGGGTGTGCCAGGGTCAGACAAAGCAGCCATGGCGCCGGTGAAGAAGCGGTACCCCACGGCTGAGGAGATCCAGGTGATCGGAGGGTACCTGTCCCTGCAGAGGTCCTGCCTGGCCAAGAACGACCCCCACCGCAAAAAGGTGAGCAGGGCCCAGGGCATTGCACGCATCCACCCTTCCCGCCCCCGTGCTCCTTTCCACTCATGCTCTCCCATTCCTCCTTTCCCTCTCGTTCACTGTCTCTGCCTCATTCTTTCTTCCCCCTCTTCTAGGCCTCTTTCTCTTTCATTTACTCTCCTCCCTTTTTCTCCATTTCTCTCTTCATTGTTCTCTTACCTTGTCTTGCTGTCAAATCCCCCTTCTTCCTCCCCTGCTTCTTACTCCTTCATTTTTCTCTTTCTCATTTGCTCCTTCCTTCTGGTCTTTCTTTCCTGATTCTGTCTCTTGCTCTTTCTCTCCTTGCTCCCTTGAATCTTTTTCTTTCTTCCTCGTCTTTTCCCCTTTTCTCCTTCATTTCCCTGGCTCTTGCTCTTATTCTTTCTCCCTTTCACACTTTCCTCCCATCTCTCTCATTTCTTTTCTCTTTTGCTTCCCTCCCTCCTTCATTCCATCTTCCCTTCTTCATTTTCACGCTTCCTCTCGCTCCTCCCTTCTTCTCCCTCCCTCCCTCCAGCCTTTCTACCTGCCTCTCATGGGGAGCACTCTGCCCAAGATGGAGTCCTGCCCCAGGCTGCTCTTTGCCATGGCTAGCCATGTGTTTTTGGCCCTAGGGGCTCCCAGCCTGGCTCCTGTTGTGATGTCTCGTGCCCTCGTGGATGAGTGATGTACGGCATGTGGTGGGGCAAGGGCTCTCGCGGGATCCCTGGTGTGGGTGCGTGTGTGTGAAGCGGAAACAGCTCCACCCTGTTCTCATGGCGCAACATCAGGAAGGGCTGACGGAGGACAGGCTGCGGACAGGAAAGGAACCAAACTGACTGCAGCACATCCAGAGAGCATCAGGTGCCAGGCAGGAGCTGGTGCTGCCTGGGTGGGAAAAGGACCCATGTCCCATTCTCTGATACCCCAAGCCACTTAGTCCTCCTGAGAGAGGAAAACCCTGCTGTCCCACCCCCAGTCCTAGAGCCAGCCCATACTTTTGAACTCGCCTGCCTTGTATGGAGGGAGAGGTTTTGCTAATAACAGGTGGTTGAGATGGGGACTTTTGGTCCCAGGGGTAGGGCAGGGAATGGCATAGGGGGTCTTTCCCCTCTAGAGACAGTTGGCTCTTATCCAGCCCCGGATTGCACCTCCAATGCCAGGACTCCTGGGTGTGATTGATTCCACAGCTGCACACCGTTATTGGCTCTAAGTAGCAGAGGGGCCAAGCCCAAAACAGGCCCCAGAGTCCCAGTCTGCTCTTTTCCCTCCTCTGGAGGGGTCCTCTCAGGGCAGGGAGCCATGTGGAACTGGGGGTCTCCTTCCCCGGCATTGTCCAGCCGGCATCTCTGCTGGGAGGGGAGGGCACAACACACAAAGGCTCTGAATTAGCACAAAGGTCTTTTTATGTGCCACCCCAAGCAGGGATCTGGGGTGAACCCTAGCCGGATGCGTCTTGGGGGAATACAGTGGCTGGTCTCTTCTCTGCTTCATAAGGGAGTTATTTAGCCGGGAGAGTCGCTATGCAAGAGGCGCGCCGCCTCATCTTTGTTGCTGAGTATCAGCAGCATTTTTGCAGCCAAATACAGAACTCTGTCCAGTTTCCCGTCACTAGTGACTGGAGAAACTGCTCCAGGAAACATCCCCTTGTGGTATGAATCCTGTCCAGCTGCCAGGCAGAACAGCTCTGCCTACAGATACAGAAGAAGCCGGTGGAAAATCTTTCTACCCATAATGTACATTCAAGGAAATACTTGGGTATCTTGCAACATTTGCTTCAAAGGACTGGAGCATTCACGAGTAACTTGACCACAGCTCAGCCAAATTACTGTAGGATTACAGGGTAAATACAGTAAAGCAGTGGGCTGTAGGACTGTTAGACAGCTGTAACGTTGTACAGCATGACTGCAAGATAATAGAGTGTGTGAGAGTAACAGATCACAACACTTCTAAATTACTCTCATAGTGCATAAAAAATGTAAACTAGATTATTCTACCACACTAGGTTCTTACTATTAATATCACCATTGCAAGTGAAAGTACTAAAGCACTATTACTCAAAACTGCTGCAAGCTAATAGAGTATTATAAAGTACTAGGTCCCAGTACTGCTTAATTACTGGACTATAACATAATAAAGATACAATAATATACAGGAGTGTTCTGGAGTAATAGAATTTAATAATTTTAAATTGCTTCAATATTGAAAAAATACTGCAAAATATTAAATTATTCTAGAGGAGCATCCCAATCCTGAATTGCTGTACTGTCGCTGAAAGTTTCTGCAAAATACTGATGTATTCTTGAGTAATATCACAAGAGTGCTTTAATGTTGTCATAAAATGCAAGAGTAATAAGTGACAGCAGTGTGAAATTAGCATAGCACTGTATGAATTTACCAGAAATAATAGAGTATTTCAGAGTATGAGATTGTGGTACTGGTAATTACGACAGCATTGCTTAAAATTGCTGCAAAGCATTGCAGTATTTGACAGAAGCATCTCAAAATATTGTTGAATTACTGAGCAGGTTAGGTTATAGCAATTGTTTTAGAATTCCACAGTAATTCCAGAGAAAGAGAGCACCAAGCTATTACTTTATTTCAGCATTGCACAGTATTTATTTGGGGGAAGAAATAATATAAAGTACTGGAAGCATTCCGGATGTGTTGGAAAGTCATAGCTCACAATACTATGAGAATACTACAGTGCTATACAACAAGAGCATCAAACTATCCTATTCTATAGTATTAGATCACAGTACTGTCGAATTACTCCAGTACTTCCCAGTAAGTGTTTGAGGTCCTTAAAAATAAAATTTGCAGTGGTTCATTGTCCTCAGTGCACTCCATAAAGAACGATCATGTTTATTAACCTAATTTGTCTGTCATCCATCCAGCCACGCTTAGGTCTCAGTCTCTAATCCACATTATCTTCTCTTTCTAATCCCAGAGCATTCACCTCTACGCAGGAA